CCCTTAACTCTCATAAAAATGTAAATCACAGAAAAAATACACAAAAACATAAAATATATTTAAAAGACATCTTCAAACGCACAAAACAACGGACCAAACACCGTCTGAGCAAAAGAAAACAACAAACAAATATTAAAAACGTGTTTGGTTTTAAGCCAAAAAGGAGCCATTAAATGGCATGAATACAATTTTTTATGAATTAATATAACGAGAATTTGCATAAAATAGCGCAATTTTAACAGTGGTTTAGATTTTTGCAATGAAACCCAGGGAATATTTGAAAAAACAAATTATTTTTACAATTCAGATTCTATTCCTAGTTCAGTTTTTGAACAGTTCAAGTTCTGTTCTAATTCTGTTCTAGTTCTGTCTAGTTCTGTTTAGTTCTGTTCTAGTTCTGTTCTAGTTCTGTTCTAGTTCTGTTCTAGTTCTGTTCTAGTTCTTTTGTTCTGTTCTAGTTCTGTTCTAGTTTGTTCTAGTCTGTTCTAGTTCTGTTCTAGTTCTGTTCTAGTTCTGTTCTAGTTCTGTTCTAGTCTGTTCTAGTCTGTTCTAGTTCTGTTCTAGTTCTGTTCTAGTTCTGTTATTCTAGTTCTGTTCTAGTTCTGTTCTAGTTCTGTTCTAGTTCTGTTCTAGTTCTGTTCTAGTTCTGTCTAGTTCTGTTCTAGTTCTGTTCTAGTTCTGTTCTAGTTCTGTTCTAGTTCTGTTCTAGTTCGTTCTAGTTCTGTTCTAGTTCTGTTCTAGTTCTGTTCTAGTTCTGTTCTATGTTCTGTTCTAGTTCTGTTCTAGTTCTGTTCTAGTTCTGTTCTAGTTCTGTTCTAGTTCTGTTCTAGTTCTGTTCTACTGTTCTGTGTCTGTCTGTTCTAGTTCTGTTCTAGTTCTGTTCTAGTATCTGTTCTAGTTCTGTTCTAGTTCTGTTCTAGTTCTGTTCTAGTCTTTCTACGTTCTAGTTCTGTTCTAGTTCTAGTTCTAGTTCTGTTCTAGTTCTGTTCTAGTTCTGTCTAGTTCTAGTTCTGTTCTAGTTCTGTTCTAGTTCTAGTTCTAGTTCTGTTCTAGTTCTGTTCTAGTTCTAGTTCTGTTCTAGTTCTCGTTCTAGTTCTGTTCTAGTTCTGTTCTAGTTCTGTTCTAGTTCTGTTCTAGTTCTGTTCTAGTTCTGTTCTAGTTCTGTTCTAGTTCTGTTCTAGTTCTGTTCTAGTTCTGTTCTAGTTCTGTTCTAGTTCTGTTCTAGTTCTGTTCTAGTTCTGTTCTAGTTCTGTACTAGTTCTGTTCTAGTTCTGTTCTAGTTCTGTTCTAGTTCTGTTCTAGTTCTGTTCTAGTTCTGTTCTAGTTCTGTTCTAGTTCTATTCTAGTTCTGTTCTAGTTCTGTTCTAGTTCTGTTTTAGTTCTGTTCTAGTTCTGTTCTAGTTCTGTTCTAGTTCTGTTCTAGTTCTGTTCTGTTTTAGTTCTGTTCTGTTTTAGTTCTGTTCTGTTTTAGTTCTGTTCTGTTTTAGTTCTGTTCTGTTTAGTCTGTTCTAGTTCTGTTCTAGTTCTGTTCTAGTTCTGTTCTAGTTCTGTTCTAGTTCTGTTCTAGTTTCTGTTCTAGTTCTGTTCTAGTTCTGTTCTAGTTCTTGTTCTAGTTCTGTTCTAGTTCTTTTCTAGTTCTTTTCTAGTTCTTTTCTAGTTCTGTTCTAGATCTGTTCTAGTTCTGTTCTAGTCCTGTTCTTGTTCTTTTCTAGTTCTGTTCTAGTTCTTTTCTAGTTCTTTTCTAGTTCTTTTCTAGTTCTGTTCTAGTTCTGTTCTAGTTCTGTTCTGTTCTGTTCTTTTCCTGTTCTAGTTCTGTTCTAGTTCTGTTTTATTTCACTTCTTGTTCTGTTCAGTTCTAGTTGAGTTCTAGTTCAATTACAGTTTGTTCTAGTTCATTTCTATTTAATTTTTAGTTAATTACTAGTTCATTTTTAATTCAATTCTTTAATTTCTTTTCAAAAACATGAATTAAATCATAACATTTGCATGCATGTTGAAAATTTAATGCAAAACCTATTTTCACGGCATGCAATTCAAAATATGTCAAAATTGAATACCAAAGATTTTGTGGCAACAGAACTCCTCTACCTTCCCTCTTCCCACATAAGTTTTCTTTTATGTGTATATGTGTCTGCGTATAATTTTCCAGATGTTTATATGACCACAATCAAGAAAATCCTTTAAATCTTTTCTTTACCGTTACAAATAATACAAATACATGCACGCAAAACCATTTACACACGTTTACTTACATGCATACATAAGTTGTTATTGTTTTTTTATTGAATTTGTGCATGAATGTGTGTGTATATTTACATTTGTTGGCTGGCTGTTCACAAGATTGATAAATTTATTTTATTTTTCTCTTTTCTTAGCAAAAACGAAAATGATATTTTTGTAACAACAACATGCATTTACACCCACAATATTTTTCCCTCCCACCACTTTCTCCCTAACGTTCTTTATGGGAAAACATCCAAGCGTAGTTGCTTGTGGTTGTTGTATTTATTTAACTGTACATAAATATACACCGAGACATACTCGTGCAGACAGTTATAAACAAAATTTTCCTTTTTTATTCATACTTTGGGTGAGAAATCTTACATTGGGGAACATGCCTATAGTAGGAGTAAGCTTAAGGAAGAGGAAATGGGCAAGAGGGAGAAAATATAAGTTGAAAACAGGGATGGTAAATTCCGAACAAGTTTTAGTTCTATTCTAGTTCAGTTCTAGTTCATTTCTAGTTCAGTTCAGTTCTAGTTCAGTTCAGTTCTAGTTCAGTTCTAGTTCAGTTCTAGTTCAGTTCTAGTTCAGTTCTAGTTCAGTTCTAGTTCAGTTCTAGTTCAGTTCTAGTTCAGTTCTAGTTCAGTTCTAGTTCAGTTCTAGTTCAGTTCTAGTTCAGTTCTAGTTCAGTTCTAGTTCAGTTCTAGTTCAGTTCTAGTTCAGTTCTAGTTCAGTTCTAGTTCAGTTCTAGTTCAGTTCTAGTTCAGTTCTAGTTCAGTTCTAGTTCAGTTCTAGTTCAGTTCTAGTTCAGTTCTAGTTCAGTTCTAGTTCAGTTCTAGTTCAGTTCTAGTTCAGTTCTAGTTCAGTTCTAGTTCAGTTTAGTTCAGTTCTAGTTCAGTCTACTTCAGTTCTAGTTCAGTTCTAGTTCAGTTCTAGTTCAGTTCTAGTTCAGTTCTAGTTCAGTTCTAGTTCAGTTCTAGTCAGTTCTAGTTCAGTTCTAGTTCAGTTCTAGTTCAGTTCTAGTTCAGTTCTAGTTCAGTTCTAGTTCAGTTCTAGTTCAGTTCTAGTTCAGTTCTAGTTCAGTTCTAGTTCAGTTCTAGTTCAGTTCTAGTTCAGTTCTAGTTCAGTTCTAGTTCAGTTCTAGTTCAGTTCTAGTTCAGTTCTAGTTCAGTTCTAGTTCAGTTCTAGTTCAGTTCTAGTTCAGTTCTAGTTCAGTTCTAGTTCAGTACTAGTTCAGTTCTAGTTCAGTTCTAGTTCAGTTCTAGTTCAGTTCTAGTTCAGTTCTAGTTCAGTTCTAGTTCAGTTCTAGTTCAGTTCTAGTTCAGTTCTAGTTCAGTTCTAGTTCAGTTCTAGTTCAGTTCTAGTTCAGTTCTAGTTCAGTTCTAGTTCAGTTCTAGTTCAGTTCTAGTTCAGTTCTAGTTCAGTTCTAGTTCAGTTCTAGTTCAGTTCTAGTTCAGTTCTAGTTCTTCAGTTCTAGTTCAGTTCTAGTTCAGTTCTAGTTCAGTTCTAGTTCAGTTCTAGTTCAGTTCTAGTTCAGTTCTAGTTCAGTTCTAGTTCAGTTCTAGTTCAGTTCTAGTTCAGTTCTAGTTCAGTTCTAGTTCAGTTCTAGTTCAGCTCTAGTTCAGTTTTAGTTTGGTTCTAGTTCAGTTTTAGTTTGGTTCTAGTTCAGTTTTAGTTTGGTTCTAGTTCAGTTCTATTTCAGTTCTAGTTTCTTAAGGTTATTACCAAATCGATATTTTAATTTCCATCCCTGGATTGTAACCAAACACCAACGACAACAATAATAATAAAGAAAAAGATAACTGCATTTCAATTATTGGAATATTCTCATGTTTGTTGGACATCAACAACAACAGAAATAATAATAACATCAGCATCAACATCGTCATCGCTTTCATGTTTATCATCATAATGAAGATAATCATCATGATAATGATACAAAAAGTAGATCAAAAGAAGACTTTATGGAAATAATGTAGACAATTAGATGACAAGTTAAGACGACTTGGGCAGGAGGTATTGTTAAGCCATTTTTGATATGAATGTAATTAAATGGAAAAAATCATTTGAAATATTTTGGAGAAAAATATTTAATTGATAATTAATTTGATGAGAAATGTCTAATGTAGCATAAGATTTACATAAAGTGTTAATTAATAATTAAAAAAAAAATCAACCAGACGTATACTTGATGTTCATAATTAAATATTACTCATACTCCACAATTGTATTAGAATAAAGTTTTTAAATTTTAAAAATTTTCTTTTTGTCACATTTTCTTGTTAGCTAACACTCATTACCTAAAGTAGGGTTTATTCAGTTTATAAATAAAAATATATCCTGCAGTGTCGCGCTCACTTTTACTATTTCTTTTTTTATAGTAGTTTTTTTTTTAATTTTTGCGTTTATTTTTTGTCTTTCTTGTTTTTTTTCATTTAACATTTTTTAATAATGTTTCAACGTTATTTAATGAAAAAGTGCAATTGTTTGGAAGGTTTTATTGATTTTCAATGCAGTGGGTTGAGTGGGTTTATGTCAGACAGGCTAGTTGGCTGGCTGATGGTCAAATGGCTATGACTGTGTTTCATGAATAATTATTTGTTTTTTTTTAATTTTGAAAAAAATCTTTAGTTAAATATTTTTTGTAATTGTTTTTCCACTCTTACATTTATTTAATTATTTTTTTGCTTTCTATAAAATTAATTTTCATTTAATTTTTATTTTTTTATTCACAATTTGCTTTACTAAACTCTTTCCTCTTTTTCCCCTTTTTCTAGTTAAAATCCAAAAGTCTTACCCATTTAGATGGCCTTGAATCGGAAATGGTTTGCAATCCTGCTAAAAACTCAAATAATGTAAGTGGATTTAGATTTTTTTAATTTTTTCTTATTATTTTCTATTAAATTTTCTGCTATTTTAAGTTTTACATTTTATTAGTGTTATTGAGTAGTATGAATATTTAAAATAAGAATAACTGCACTGGCTTTTATGTGAATGTTGAATAGCACGTTTGTTTAGATGTTTAAAATAGCTAAAAAAAATATTTTTCTTTTACAAAGAAAAGAAATATTTTAGTAGAATTTAATGCCGATAACAACCGATAACATAAATTTTGTAAACTGAAAGTTATCAATATCTTTTTTAAATGGGCTTATCCTTTGCCTTTACACTAGAACTAGAACTTCAACTGAAGAAGAACTGAACTAAAACTGAACTAGAACTGAACTAGAACTGAACTAGAACTGAACTAGAACTGAACTAGAACTGAACTAGAACTGAACTAGAACTGAACTAGAACTGAACTAGAACTCAACTAGAACTGAACTAGAACTCAACTAGAACTGAACTAGAACTGAACTAGAACTGAACTAGAACTGAACTAGAACTGAACTAGAACTGAACTAGAACTGAACTAAACTGAACTAGAACTGAACTAGAACTGAACTAGAACTGAACTAGAACTGAACTAGAACTGAACTAGAACTGAACTAGAACTGAACTAGAACTGAACTAGAACTGAACTAGAACTGAACTAGAACTGAACTAGAACTGAACTAGAACTGAACTAGAACTGAACTAGAACTGAACTAGAACTGAACTAGAACTGAACTAGAACTGAACTAGAACTGAACTAGAACTGAACTAGAACTGAACTAGAACTGAACTAGAACTGAACTAGAACTGAACTAGAACTGAACTAGAACTGAACTAGAACTGAACTAGAACTGAACTAGAACTGAACTAGAACTGAACTAGAACTGAACTAGAACTGAACTAGAACTGAACTAGAACTGAACTAGAACTGAACTAGAACTGAACTAGAACTGAACTAGAACTGAACTAGAACTGAACTAGAACTGAACTAGAACTGAACTAGAACTGAACTAGAACTGAACTAGAACTGAACTAGAACTGAACTAGAACTGAACTAGAACTGAACTAGAACTGAGAACTGAACTAGAACTGAACTAGAACTGAACTAGAACTGAACTAGAACTGAACTAGAACTGAACTAGAACTGAACTAGAACTGAACTAGAACTGAACTAGAACTGAACTAGAACTGAACTAGAACTGAACTAGAACTGAACTAGAACTGAACTAGAACTGAACTAGAACTGAACTAGAACTGAACTAGAACTGAACTAGAACTGAACTAGAACTGAACTAGAACTGAACTAGAACTGAACTAGAACTGAACTAGAAACTGAACTAGAACTGAACTAGAACTGAACTAGAACTGAATAGAACTGAACTAGAACTGTACTATAACTGAACTATAACTGAACTAGAACTGAACTAGAACTGAACTAGAACTGAACTAGAACTGAACTAGAACTGAACTGAACTAGAACTGAACTGAACTGAACTAGAACTGAACTAGAACTGAACTAGAACTGAACTAGAACTGAACTAGAACTGAACTAGAACTGAACTAGAACTAGAACTGAACGACTAGAACTGAACTAGAACTGAACTAGAACTGAACTAGAACTGAACTAGAACTGAACTAGAACTGAACTAGAACTGAACTAGAACTGAACTAGAACTGAACTAGAACTGAACTAGAACTGAACTAGAACTGAACTAGAACTGAACTAGAACTGAACTAGAACTGAACTAGAACTGAACTAGAACTGAACTAGACTGAACTAGAACTGAACTAGAACTGAACTAGAACTGAACTAAACTGAACTAGAACTGAAACTATGAACTGAAACTATGAACTGAACTAGAATCTGAACTAAGAACTGACTAGAACTGAACTAGAACTGAACTAGAACTGAACTAGAACGGAACTAGAACTGAACTAGAACTGAACTAGAACTGAACTAGAACGGAACTAGAACTGAACTAGAAACTGAACTAGAACTGAACTAGAACTGAACTAGAACGAACTAGAACTGAACTAGAACTGACTAGAACTGAACTAGAACTGAACTAGAACTGAACTAGAACTGAGGCAGAACTGAATAAATGACAAACTTTTTTGTGTCTAATTATCGCCAAATCCTTTGATATTTACCTTTATTATTTCAAAAATAATATATATATTTTTTTTATTCAATCCCTAAGTTTTTCCATATTTTTCTACAGTATTATTTATTTCACAGTCATTATTGCTGGCGTTATGCGTACGTGACTTATTTTTGATTTATACACACTTTTGTTTTAACTCATGTTACTTGTAAATATAAAGTTTTCGTTGATATAAATTTTTCCTCTATCTTTTTTAATGACATTTCTATTGTCAGTTTACGTGTGTAATAAGACTGCAGATAACGTAATATTAAAGGTACATATAATCGAAAAATGAATAATGATAAAGCAAAATCTTAAAAAGAGGAAAAAATGTTTGACATTTGAAAATCAAAAAAAGAAATCCTTGAAATTATAAATGTTTGAGATGTTGATCTAAATAATTGCAAAACTTTTGTATAACTCCCCCTCTATGACAATTGGTACACCATTGTTGGTATTAGTGTGTGCGATTGTCTGCCAAAAAGTCAATACCATTAAAATTACAATTCAATTTACTTTTTATCACATGATTTCCATTGTAAAACAAACTATATTCTCCTCCTCCTACTTCTGCTGTCATTTAAAACGTTCATCCTTCAAAAGAAACTATTAGTAACAACAAGACAATGTGCGGAGAGAAAAAATCTAATTTATCTTGATGGTTTTTAGAACGAAATTTCTTCTGAACTCCATTTGAACGCCCCTGCACCCACAACAACGCAATTGGAGAAAAAAATCTAGCAAATGACATCTCTGGACCATGAGATGAGTTTCGGCAATTGTTTAGTTTTTTCCTCTAACAAATACGAATAGTTTTCTGCTCACAGGATGATTGGGAACATGGTGAACATATTGCAAAAGATTTGAAAAGCAAAAACAATTAGATGTACAAATGAACGCTGATGTCCAAAAATATGGAGCCGAACTAAACCAGAAGACTACTGAACTAGAACTGAATAGA